TATTTATATTTATTTAAAAAAAAAATTCCTGTGTGCTTTTAATTTTTTAGACTTTTATAGAATTCTAATTCTATAAGTTCTAATTAGAAAGAAAAAACTTCAATTTTTTTTTAAATAATAACAGTATTAATTTATTCTATTTAATCAGTATGCATTACAAAAATCGAAATTCTAGGCAGTATTCCACGATCAATTCAGCCTTGTCTGAGTTTGCGCGCAACAAACGCATACGCTCAAGGTCCGTTTTATTATTACGACTTTAGTAGACAGTGCCCGAAATACCCGGTCCATACTGATAGCCAGTGCCGGCAGCAACACCACCTACCGGCGGCACTACACCACCAGCATAGCCGCCTAAGCCGCCACCTACCACGCTGTTGGTGTAACCGCCGTAATAGTTGGATGGATAATTGTAGCCCAAGCGCGAGTAAGGATAACCGCCACCGAATCGTGCATTGTAGTAGGCGTAAGGGCTGCCATAGCCGCCATAAGGACCATAGCCAGCAGAGCCGTAACCAGCATAGTTTCCATAACCGCCATAGCCGCCGTAACCACCATAGCCGCTGAGTCCACCTAGTCCAGCGGCGCCAGCATAACTCCCGTAACCACCATAGCCGCCATAACCGTAGGTGCCATCTTTAAAGTAGAAGAAAAATTAAATTTCTAAAATTTTTGGACGCATTGCACGCGTCGCCTACCCAAGCCGAGACCGAGACGCGACGAGTACGGATCCCAGGCGCCACCAATGTAACGTTTCTCTTGCTTATGTGTACCCTCCAGCGGATTCAGGCTGCTGGCTGCTTCCTCCAGCTGCTCGTCGCCATTCGCGGATGCTGCGATCTCACCATCCAGCGCGGTTTCTGCGTAGGTTGTTGTTGTGATGGCGCAAATTGTGAGTAAAGCTGCGATTAAGGGCTGAAAGGCACACAGGGAAGGGGAAAATAAGCACAAGAAAACATTTGGGAGTTAATTTTTATGAATCCAGTACACTTTTTAGAATTAGTCCTTTATATTTGTAAACACAGGCGTATCCTTGCTTTTAACACTTACAGCGCACTTCATGTTTTTTATTCGTTTTACTTCGTTTTTGCCGCACACGTAGAGTTTTAGCACTTTCCGTTAGCTAACTACCTTTAACTGCGAATTCGAG